AATACTATGTAACTATAATAATACTATGTAACTATGGTGAAGAGGGTTTGGTCCCGGATTTATCAGTCTGGAAGAGCCTGGACATACTACTAACCTGGGGGACTGCCTTGAATTCTGGGGCTTTGGAAGGACTAAGGGGGCCTTTGGATTTTGCGGCTGGACAAGGATTTGCCGTACAGGTGTTCCCCAGTACAGGGGGTGCAAGGTGCTTCTTGCAGGGACGCTCTACAGACCTGCATTCCAGCCACAGGATACGTTACACGTGGACCATCCTGGAGATTTGTCTGAGGGTATCTTCCAGGCTATCGATGCAGTAGTGCAAGGCCACAGGAAAGACCTCCAGCCCTATAGTGCAAGGCCACAGGAAAGACCTCCAGCCGTATAGTGCAAGGCCACAGGAAAGACCTCCAGCCCTATAGTGCAAGGCCACAGGAAAGACCTCCAGCCCTATAGTGCAAGGCCACAGGAAAGACCTCCAGCCCTATAGTGCAAGGCCACAGGAAAGACCTCCAGCCCTATAGTGCAAGGCCACAGGAAAGACCTCCAGCCCTATAGTGCAAGGCCACAGGAAAGACCTCCAGCCCTATAGTGCAAGGCCACAGGAAAGACCTCCAGCCCTATAGTGCAAGGCCACAGGAAAGACCTCCAGCCCTATAGTGCAAGGCCACAGGAAAGACCTCCAGCCCTATAGTGCAAGGCCACAGGAAAGACCTCCAGCCCTATAGTGCAAGGCCACAGGAAAGACCTCCAGCCCTATAGTGCAAGGCCACAGGAAAGACCTCCAGCCCTATAGTGCAAGGCCACAGGAAAGACCTCCAGCCCTATAGTGCAAGGCCACAGGAAAGACCTCCAGCCCTATAGTGCAAGGCCACAGGAAAGACCTCCAGCCCTATAGTGCAAGGCCACAGGAAAGACCTCCAGCCCTATAGTGCAAGGCCACAGGAAAGACCTCCAGCCCTATAGTGCAAGGCCACAGGAAAGACCTCCAGCCCTATAGTGCAAGGCCACAGGAAAGACCTCCAGCCCTATAGTGCAAGGCCACAGGAAAGACCTCCAGCCCTATAGTGCAAGGCCACAGGAAAGACCTCCAGCCCTATAGTGCAAGGCCACAGGAAAGACCTCCAGCCCTATAGTGCAAGGCCACAGGAAAGACCTCCAGCCCTATAGTGCAAGGCCACAGGAAAGACCTCCAGCCCTATAGTGCAAGGCCACAGGAAAGACCTCCAGCCCTATAGTGCAAGGCCACAGGAAAGACCTCCAGCCCTATAGTGCAAGGCCACAGGAAAGACCTCCAGCCCTATAGTGCAAGGCCACAGGAAAGACCTCCAGCCCTATAGTGCAAGGCCACAGGAAAGACCTCCAGCCCTATAGTGCAAGGCCACAGGAAAGACCTCCAGCCCTATAGTGCAAGGCCACAGGAAAGACCTCCAGCCCTATAGTGCAAGGCCACAGGAAAGACCTCCAGCCCTATAGTGCAAGGCCACAGGAAAGACCTCCAGCCCTATAGTGCAAGGCCACAGGAAAGACCTCCAGCCCTATAGTGCAAGGCCACAGGAAAGACCTCCAGCCGTATAGTGCAAGGCCACAGGAAAGACCTCCAGCCCTATAGTGCAAGGCCACAGGAAAGACCTCCAGCCGTATAGTGCAAGGCCACAGGAAAGACCTCCAGCCCTATAGTGCAAGGCCACAGGAAAGACCTCCAGCCGTATAGTGCAAGGCCACAGGAAAGACCTCCAGCCCTATAGTGCAAGGCCACAGGAAAGACCTCCAGCCGTATAGTGCAAGGCCACAGGAAAGACCTCCAGCCCTATAGTGCAAGGCCACAGGAAAGACCTCCAGCCGTATAGTGCAAGGCCACAGGAAAGACCTCCAGCCCTATAGTGCAAGGCCACAGGAAAGACCTCCAGCCGTATAGTGCAAGGCCACAGGAAAGACCTCCAGCCGTATAGTGCAAGGCCACAGGAAAGACCTCCAGCCGTATAGTGCAAGGCCACAGGAAAGACCTCCAGCCGTATAGTGCAAGGCCACAGGAAAGACCTCCAGCCGTATAGTGCAAGGCCACAGGAAAGACCTCCAGCCGTATAGTGCAAGGCCACAGGAAAGACCTCCAGCCGTATAGTGCAAGGCCACAGGAAAGACCTCCAGCCGTATAGTGCAAGGCCACAGGAAAGACCTCCAGCCGTATAGTGCAAGGCCACAGGAAAGACCTCCAGCCGTATAGTGCAAGGCCACAGGAAAGACCTCCAGCCGTATAGTGCAAGGCCACAGGAAAGACCTCCAGCCGTATAGTGCAAGGCCACAGGAAAGACCTCCAGCCGTATAGTGCAAGGCCACAGGAAAGACCTCCAGCCGTATAGTGCAAGGCCACAGGAAAGACCTCCAGCCGTATAGTGCAAGGCCACAGGAAAGACCTCCAGCCGTATAGTGCAAGGCCACAGGAAAGACCTCCAGCCGTATAGTGCAAGGCCACAGGAAAGACCTCCAGCCGTACAAGAGTGGCCATTTTAGAATGTCTGAGACTGCAACAATGGACCCAGGGTCTCTAACCATAGCTTTTGCTGCCCACATAGATAAAGTTTGACATTCCACCATGCTGGAAACAGCAGGGCCTGCAAAGGGCAAATAGGACCTTAAAGAGGACTTCTAACATCTACTCCATGTAGTTCTTCAAAACAAGAACATCCTCTTCAGTCATTAAACTTTTGTTCAAAAAGGAAAAACCGGGGCCTACGACCGCTGAAGCCCATTTCTGGAAGAAATCCTCATTAAAGGAGAACTATGAGGGGGAGGGGCTTGTCACTCACCTCACAATGAGACTGTCACAGGTCGGCTCAGTAGATCGGGAGGTGAGCGAACACATACCTCTCGATCCTGTCACGGTTCTCTGCCGTGACAGGGGAGGGGCTGGATTCCCCCCGCTCCGATCCTCCAGCGCTGACTGGCGGAACGGAGGGGGCGGGTACAGCTGGCTCTGCCTCTAGATAGAAGGAGCCAGCTGTCACTCACGCAGCTGGGCGGATCTCGATGTCGGGATCCGCTCCGGCGTCTCAGTATACCGCGAGCTGTAGCTCCCTATATATTGAGCTCAGGGTGACGGGAGGACGCTAGTTTGTGTCCTCCCCCGACCCTGAGGAGAACTATGGGGAAAGCCCTGACCTCAGAGTTCTCCTTTAACCCCTTCATGACTGAGGCCCTTTTTTCAATTTTTGCACCCATGTTATATTCCACATTTTAGGCCTGAAAATGACGTAAAACCCCCCAACATTATATATTTTCTGAATGCCAAGACCCTATAGAATAAAATGGTGGTAGTTGAAAATTTTTATGTTGCGCAATATTAGCGCAACTCCTTATTAAACCCCAAAATTTAGTGGGCGGCCCCTTCTTCGGGACGCAGAAGCGATCTGGCGACAGGTAAGTCGCCAGGATCGCTTCTGTTGTAAAGCCGACAGTCGGCTCTACAAGTTTAAACAGAGTCCCGGCGGCAAAAGTCGCCGGGAGGAACAGCCCCGATGCTGGCGACGTACTGTACCTCGTCAGTCACGAAGGGGTTAATAAAGTATTGCTGAGAAAGCCGTTTAGGAGGCGTCAGCAATACTCCTGGCTGATCCCGCCGTCACCGTACAACACTGGCTGCGGCAGGTTTGGATATTTTTAAAGAACCCAGACCCAAGAACCCTGGGCAAGGCCAACGCAGGCGGATGGAACGGTAACCGATCACAGGCTGTGTCCACGAGGACAGAGAGATTACGCTGGAGCTTAGAAGAGATGTTAGAAGACAGGTCCTCTTTCTGGGCCAAGTGCACAGCAATGGAAGCGGCTTCTCCTTCTTCCACAGGAAGTCCAACATTGACAGAGGACGGCCAGACACCTGTGGACATACCTGTCCTTCTGCGCAGAGTGTAGAGGAGGAAACCGCCATCTTACACACCAGGAATTATCTGTGACCCTACACCCAAGGAGATGACCGTTCACTCTACACCCAAGGAGATGACCGTTCACTCTACACCCAAGGAGACGGCCGTTCACTCTACACCCAAGGAGAAGACCGTTCACTCTACACCCAAGGAGATGACCGTTCACTCTACACCCAAGGAGACGGCCGTTCACTCTACACCCAAGGAGATGACCGTTCACTCTACACCCAAGGAGATGACCGTTCACTCTACACCCAAGGAGACGACCGTTCACCGAGATACCTAACATCAAAGGAGATAACTGTCCCTCCCGCACCTAAGTAAATAACTGTTGCCCAACAAACAAGGAGAAACCTGCCCCCCCTACACCTGAGATACTTGACCCCTTACACCAAAGGAGATAACTGCCCCCCAACACCTGAAGATATACTTGTCCTCCTACACCCAATGACATAACTGTCTCCCTACACCCAAAGGGTACCGGCCCTTATACCTGAGGGGATACCTATCTCCCCACACTTGAGAAGCTACCTGTCCTCATACACCCAAGAAGTTATTTGCCCCTTTATACCCGAGTAGATATCTGTCACCCTGAGGAGTTACCAGTCCCAGCACACTGGAGGAGATATCTGCCTCCCCTAGGCCTGAGGAGTTATCTGTCCTTCCTACACCTTAGGGGACACCCGAGGAGATTTATCACCCCCTACACTTAAGGTGGTACCTGTCCCCCTACACCTGAGGAAACATTTCTGTCCAACACCAGAAGAGAGACTTCCCCGAACTAACAGGCGCATCGCCTTTACAATCTTAACCATGAGATCCGGAGCAAGTCTGCCAAATCACAACCAATTTATTTACACCGTATACACCGATCATTACACATCCAAGTCATCATCTGGATCTTCCTCATCCAGGTCATCACCGGGGTCCGGGTCATAGAAGATTTTGCCCGAGCTGCCGGAACTTTGGAGAAGAGACGACTTCCTGTAACAGAGAAGGATAACATTAGAAGATGGCCATTACCCTCCTGGGGGGTCGGTGCTACATGGGGGGGTACTCGTGGGAAACTTCCAGCATCCAGGAAAAGGTGGGATGTGAGCTAAAGATCCCACAGAAGAGGAGAAGATCCCACAGAAGAGGAGAAGATCCCACAGAAGAGGGGGAGATCCCACAGAAGAGGGGGAGATCCCACAGAAGAGGGGGAGATCCCACAGAAGAGGGGAAGATCCCACAGAAGAGGAGAAGATCCTACAGAAGAGGAGAAGATCCCACAGAAGAGGAGAAGATCCCACAGAAGAGGGGAAGATCCCACAGAAGAGGAGAAGATCCTACAGAAGAGGAGAAGATCCTACAGAAGAGGAGAAGATCCCACAGAAGAGGAGAAGAT